GCAAACACTGTACGCTGTATAGTCGGATATGGAGTATGTGTGTCCTAGAAATAAGAGGTATAATAGGAAGGTGGTACACCTGCACGGAATAATGCAATATTGCTTTGTGGGCCAGGATATCTAAGATTCCAGAAAAAACGGTGGTATAGGCAGATTTTACAACGGAATTATACAGGGTGTCCAAATATTCCAATATTCCGTGGACATATAGGAATACCATGTATTTTTAGACTCAGAATATGTCGACTAACTTAGGTGAAATACTTTTTCCACGTCGAATTCCATGAAGTCCATGAATACATTTGTTGTAAATAATATCACAGATATTAAAATGTAAATGTAAGAGAATCTGTCAATAAAATTTTGGTATTGATATTTAAAATATCTCTGTAGCCATAGATCTTTTTGAATTGCTGAAGATTCTCCTTGTACAATTAGTTATATATGATTCTTGAAAGGCAAGTCTTGATCAAGTAATACTCCTAAGCAAGGGCGGCTGGCCCTTAAGTTCTGCAGAGCTGCAGAACTGCCAAAACTTTTGTCTTAACAGAAAAGAGGAAGTAATTTGATCATTATTGATTTTCCATGTTATCACACAAATAGAAACAATACCGGCCGCAAGACACGGCGTCGAGTCTGTTTTGTACTGAGAAAGCATTATAATCACCAATTGTGTACTTGTCATTTTCGTCGCGACCGCAGCGTAACATTATTCATGGGCCACTTGAAAAGGGTCTGTGCACTACTTCGACACAAGCCGCACGCGCTTGCTTTTGTCTCTCTCTACAAAATCAAATGCGCGATTTAAGCATAAGCATGTGCTGCAATTTATACATATCCGTACAGGTCCAATGCGAAGTACGATATCTGATTGGTCGGTCGGTGCTGGGTCCTCGGCGGTATTGTCACGTGACGTGGCTTAAAATTTGAATGAATGCGAAAAAAAATTTATTTAGGTATTTTGGGTCTTACGTTGAGTGACTAGTGACTCACTGACTGACTGTGGCTGTGTAGAAGGGTAGTGCAAGACAATGGATGTGGTTTACAGACTTATCAGCGTGAAACGATTCGGGAAATACACATTTGAAGAAAAAATTGAGCTGAAGGTGTCAGGTCGACCGCTGTCGGTCATATTTATTGAAACACAGGGCGTTAGTCGGAGCAAGGGCTATACGCGGCATTTCAGCAGGGAGATTTACACCAGAAATGACTGGATTTGTGGGTGCAACAGGAAGAATGCCCTTTTCTGCTTTCTTTGCATACTTTTCGGCGGTGACAAAGCTTGGACGGAGGTAGGTGTTACAGATTTAGTGCACCTTAGTGAAAAAATTAAAAAGCATGAAAACTCTAAAACACATGTTCATAATTCGATGGAATTGGCTTTATTGGGGACTGTTAACATCAGAGCTCAGTTAGATTCAGCATATTGGAGAAATATACAACAGCATAATGATACCGTTACAAAAAACAGGTACGTTCTATCAAAAATAATCGATTGTATAAAATTTTGCGGAACATTTCAATTGGCGCTACGGTGCCACGACGAAACCGAGAGCTCCCAAGACCCGGGAATATTTCGTGGACTGATTAATTTTTCTGCTGAGCTTGATACAACCTTAAGCGAGCACATAAGAAATACTTCAATATTTAGAGGAACTTCGAAAGAAATACAAAACGATCTACTGGATTGTGTTCTTGAAGCATGTCATGAAGAAATAATAAAACAGATTAAGAGAGCCTAGTATTTTGGGATAATAGCAGATGAAACAAGGGACATTTCGGGGCAAACCCAACTGGTAACAATTTTCAGATACGTATTTAACGGCGAACCAGTAGAATGTTTTTGGAATTATACGAATCCCGAAAAATTTGACGCTGATATCTCACAAGACATATTTTGAGCGTCGTAGGTCCATTAGTAGGAAATTTCCCTAACAAACTGATTTCACAAAGCTATGATGGAGCCGCGGTAATGAGCGGACATAATGCTGGAGTAAAGGCAAAAATTAAACAAAGATATCCATTTGCTCACTATGGGCATTGCTATGCGGATCAGTTAAACCTGATTATGTCCCAAGATGCTTCCGCAAATGCTCAAGTTCGGGTGTTCTTTGGGGATTTGAAAGATATTCCGGGATTTTTTAATAATTCTCCTCAACGCGTAGAGGTACTGAACAGAATTGTGGGAAAAAAATTCCTTTAAGGAGCAACAACTCGTTGGAATTTTAATATTCGAACAATAAATGTAGTGTTTGAGAACAGAGAATCACTCATTGAATGCATGGAAGAAATAGAAGAAAATTTCACTAATGAAGCCGTTTGCAAGACAGCTTGCGGTATTCGCCGTATGTTAATCGATTCTGTTTTCGTGTTTTGGTTGACATTTTTTCATCATGTCATGCCTCACGTCGACTTCTTGTTCAACCAGCTGCAGAAGAGAAAAACCGAGCTAGCGCAAGTTAAAACGGCTATCGATAATTTTGTAAAATGTATTGTCGATGTGAGAAATAAAATTGATGACATAATAAATGAAGCCAAAAGTATTTGCACTGAACCCCAAGGTAACAAAAGGAGACGACGTAATAATAGCAGTCACGATCACCGAGTTGCCGCATTAGAAGTATGCGACAATATAGTGAATTCTGCAAATGACAGATTTCAATTCGAAGGTCATTGGGTAGCCGCATCCATTTTTGTTCCCGAACACTTTGGAAAATACTGTAGCAAGTTTCCTGACAAGTTGGAAACTACCTGCTTGGTTTATCCCGGATTAGAAAAAAGTCGTTTAAAGACAGAGTTGTCTGTTATTTATGCACGGAATGATTGCCGAGATTTACATGGAACTCTGTCTGTTTTGTAATTTTTGATACAAAATAGTTTGGAGGAAACACTAAAAGGAACAAAAAAGCTATTAGAAATTATTGTTACAACTCCTATGTCAACATCAGAGGCTGAGCGAAATTTCTCAACATTGAAAAGAATTAAGACCTTTCTTCGAAATACTATGACTCAGGATCGCCTTAGACCGTTGTCGATGCTGTCCATTGAAAAGAAATTTATTTCGACCATGGAAAATTTCAAGGGGAAGGTGATCGACAAATAGGCTGTCAAGAAGGAGCGCAGAATCGAACTGACATATAAAAAAATGGTAAGTTCGGATTTGCAGAACACCTGTTTTATTTTGCCACGAGCCGCCACTGCTCCTAAGTTTTTGACTTCGATTTGCTTATTTATAGCAATACCATCAATATGAATATTTATTTTATCTCTAATAAGATTTCTAACTTTTTTGGGATCAAAAATAATAAAATTTGACTTGTCTGGGTAGAGGTACAAGGAACTCTGTATGAGGGTTAATAAAATGAGAAACTTTGTTTATGCACCATAAAATTGGCAAAAAATACTTTTCAAAAAACTACTAGAGTACGTACTGGTGTATGCAGCATACAGCGCAGTAATAGGGGATGAAAATACTTTCAAAATGAGATCTTATTAGTACGTAGCTATAATTTATTATTTCAGAGAAAGCGAGCAAATCTTCGGTTTTTTGTTTAGTTTTCTTTCTAACAGCATAAACGCATTACCTATACTTAAAAGCCAACGATTCATTGTATTCTGGCGCTCACAAAAGGATCTGAAAGATCCTAGCTCCTTCAATGAAGCAGTAGCAGAACGAATAAATTAATTTAGAAATCTACTGTGAAAAGAGCGTTTAGCTCTCCTACTATCTCATAGATGGTGGTAGAATCTTCAATCCTTTTTAGATGCCCCTCTAATGACTGTTTCTACGAGAAAGTTTCTTGTTTGGTGGAACACAAATTATATCCTGAGTAAAGTGAGGTATAGCATCGATTTTTCGAACTTACGCTACCCAAAGTTTTCTTATTTGGAGAATAATCTGGTTGGAGTGTATGACTCAGTGATGACATCACAATAAGCCAACCGCCATCATCAACACAGAGCGATACACCTGCTGTGCACGCTTCGCGCTATTTACAAGTTCTGCTATGTATTTGCGGTTTATGGTAAATATAACTTTTTTGACTTTGACTTACAAATATTGTATTGTACCTAGATGCACAAATATAAGCATGTCAGCTCCGAAAAGCCATTTCTCCCTGTTGGAAAACACAAAGAATAGATTTCGCTTGTTGAGAATTATAGGGTTCTATGTTACAAAAGTGATTATTCGAGAAAAACGCATCTGAAAGTCCAGTGTTCTGTAACTACGCTTACAATAAATTCTTTGAATTTTCAAGTGTCTCCACATTACGTTACCATTAATGAGTCATGTTATTCGGCTACAGAGACTTGTTATTGCTGGTGTGAATTGAGAAAAACTTCAGTGAAAGTAAACATAGAACCGTGGGAGTCAAAAATGGTTATATTTATGAACATATAACTTTGGTACAATATAAGCTGTTAAATAAAACATTAAAAATATCCTAATAAAAATAAACTAAGACATAAAATAAACTAGTTCAAGGATTTTTGAAGTCACAGCCTATATTATAGAAACGAAAAGGAAACATTTTGTAGTTAGTTCCTGTTTTTGTTAATTTTCTTTTTCTTAGTTTTTCCACTTTGCTCCGGTAGTACGGCTTTATAATAATTCTGATCGATCAGAGGCATCCATTTTAGCATAAAAGTCAACGATTCAACTTTATTGGCTGAAAGCGCTACTTTGGAAGTAGTAGTTGTCGATTTCACTCTACTTTGTAGAGCATTTTCCATTATTTTTTCTTTTTGTATTTCACATTCTGTAAAAGAGTTCTCTGAACGAGAAATTTTGTAATGTACAATGTGAGGTGTGGATTTTCGAAATTGAAGTGATGAAACCTTAGAGAACGGTACTCTATGATGGTATCTGAGATACCAAAACAAGTTTTTCCCCACTTTTAAAAGCAGGATCTTCATTTTCATTGCTGGAATGAATATATCAGTGTGTTAGTTTACTAACATAACCTCAAATAACTTATACAAGCTATACTAATACAAACCTGTCGCTCTCTGATGGAAAATATTCCTTATCCTTATCACTATCATACCCGGCAAACGGATCTTCACTTTCAGATTCGGAACTCATATGGACTGATATTGATCAAATACTGTTAATAAATTAAATACACAACGAAAAGCAAACGAACTTGTGTAACGAACAACGGAAGTGAATGCGTCATGCAATGGCGCCCTCATGAGCATGCGTAGTTCTATGTCAGGACATAGAACTTTGGGCAAACGTAGGTTAACTCAGAATATAACCACAAAGTTGTATGTTAAACATAAAACATTGCACCTCACAAAGGTCAATATTTATAGTAAAGGGAAATCCTATGTTGTACATAAAACTTTGCGGTAGCAATGCTACAAAATAACGAAAAGGTCTGATGTTATTTTGAAGAATAACCCCATTCACCGTTTACATAGAACTGTGGAACCCAATTGAGCTGATAGTACACGTTCCATAGAATCTTGTGGTGCATTATCTTAGTTTTGACAAAATTGTAACATAGAACCCTGTAATTCTAACCCAGCGATTTGCCTCTTTCGGAAATATCATCTACTGCTGTGAATCTCATTTTGATATAAGTAACTCTAATGATGGAGAATAACTGAATTTGTTTAGAATAAGAAGGGATTTATTTATTATTTTTATTTCGAATTAATGTGAATATTGTTATAATGACCATCTAGGGGGCATATTCCTTAAGCTTTGTCTGTGTCGATGTGGGGATGCATAGTGGACGTGGTTCAGGAATAAAAAAAGCTGACGTAAGGTCCAAGAAAGTGTATAATCGATCAGTGTCAGTGTTTTTAAATATTCAGTTCTATTGAGATGTTGCAAAATGGATTACGGAGAGTCGAAAGTATGTATAATCATTATGTGGCGTTGGATTGCTTGCCAAGCGATACAATACGGCAACAATATGTAAATGATTTTTCCGAAATTCAAAGAGAGTTTAAAAGAAGCCCATTTGAGTCCGCTATATTTCTAAGAATAGCCTGTTTATCACACACCCAGTGAAGAAGTATGTGAATTTTGGCTGCAGGTGACTGTAACTTTGACAATTATGCAACATTATTCCACATTTCATTAATTATACTTGAAAACATATAAAACTGTAATTAACGAGCCATTTTTTGCAAACATAGCTGTCATACTAGATCAGCCATTCAGATTTCCTAATTTTAGCTTAAATTTTAAGCACGATCAAGTGAAACTAGCACTATTTTCGACTTTAGGAAACTTCTTAATCACATATCTTGAGGCGTCATACGCAAATTGATTTGCATAGGTAGTATAACAGAAATAAGGCTCCAAGCCAATATTATTATGGATTAAACGTTCCATGCTAATAAACAAGGGAATTACTATAATTAAGTAAGAAAATCTTTGAATCAATTTAATTTTGCAAAAACAGAGCAATTATAATAATATAAAATTGAGGAATAAATACATCTGCTAAACGGACAAATCGGAATACAGGTAGTGGATGGTTAAACATAATCACCCAAAAAAAAAAAAACGTTACACGCCCAAGCCAAACTAAGGGCGTACACGCCCAAGCCAAACTAAGGGCGTGACACGTATACTTTGAACCCTGCTAGAAAACATTGTCCATGCAAACAGCAATACCATTGGAAGATATATTAATTGCAGCGCGAACAATACCAATAAACAAATCAATAAGCATCAATGTTAAAATAAAAGTACTTGATGCAGTCAAAATATCCGCAAACATGTGACGGTCGTTGTCAAAAAAGATGCAAGTGAACTTGATATACACATATTGCATAAACATGACTGAGTAAATGACTCTTCGGTTGTAAACATTCAAATATTTGCTAACGAAAAAACGCAAATATTACGGCCGGCACGTTTCAGACTGTGTGCACAGTCTGTAAAAATCCGTTTAACGACATTTTCAACTATCGATTATTGGCAGTGCACACAAGGTGAGCAGCGCATATTGTACAACGCAAGGGCATGGATATCTACCGCAAATATCATAAATCACTTAAGGTTGCTGATGTTGCTCATTAGATGGATGGGCTAGATCAATATGTGGTGTTTCCTTTGTATGAAACAACTGTAGGCGAAACCAAGCAGCAGAAGACTTCTTTACCTCTTCACTTCTTCTTCTTACTTTCCACGCCAATACATTGGGTATTACAAGAGAAATTTTCCAATTCGACTAAGCCCAAAATGCTCCTCGAGGTCTTGTATAGGAAGGAACAAATTTTAGTTTAGATCCTTTAGAAATAATATTTTACTCGAATTGATCAATTAAGTAATTCTAAACACTAAAAATGGTTATTTTTGGGATTTTTCAGACGTTTAATCAGATATTCGCCTGGAGCGAAGAGCATAGTGGGGGTGACTGAATCGAGCGTCGCTCACGCGGTAGACAAAAAGGAAAACACAGTGGAATATAGGGGTGGTTTCTATGCTGGAATATGTGTCATATCGGGTTAAGTGAGGCCTGGCAAAGGTGAAACATTTCATTGCTATCACTTGTCTCCTTAGTACCTCTGAGAGGTGGCACAGTGGTCATCAAGAAATGAATGGCCCCTCTATAACTTGGAAAGAATCATTCGAGATTAATTGAAATTTTAAACGCAACGTCCTTTTTCGATGTTCCTCGACTTGCTTCTTTAATCAAGATAATACTAGTAACAAATCCAACTAGACTCGAGGCATTAAAAATCATGTTTCAATTTCAGATAGAGCGCAAAAAATGGCAATATTTGCGTCGCTCATCAAGCATCACAAACAGTAAAATCATAGCGTAATAGTTTGCGTTCTTGATAGACGTTTTAAGCGAAAAAATAAAAAATCGACATCACCATAGAAATATGCAAGAAGTTTTGATTACAATATTTTTTTGTTATTGCACCAACGTGCTTTTTCGATCACCCATTCAAAACACGAAATTCCACGGAGTGCATTGTACCTTATCACTTTCGGAAAACCCAACGGATCGTACCCAATCCACATATATTTGGAGATGTTTATTCATGGACGGAAATATACCGTTGGCTGTCAGCAAATACTTGATGTTTCTCTAAAAAAGAAAAAACCACCAGCACTGTCAATAGCCGCGAAGGTGAGATAGGTCAGTTCTTTCAATATTTAATTACAACAAGGAATCTCCAGCAGAGCTACAAGACGCATCGCTATGCACTAAAGTATACATACTACGAACAGCAGGGTCACTCGCGTGAAAAAATTTCCTATTCAGACTTTTTAGGGGTGCTGCCACCAGATGTGTTTTTTTCAGTGATGGACAGTCTTGGCAGCTTCTTGTCCGTCGAGCTTTAGCGTGCCCTAATTGCCTCTTGCAGTCAGGTACACCGTATGGGAAAAACTGATTTGACCGGTACAGCGACCCTACTATTTACAATCTGTATACTATGCACTTGTACTATGCAGCTTTACGGACACACCCATTTGACGTTCTTTGACTAACTACACCATGTATGCGCGGTGATTGAACATTCTGTAAGGAAGAGGATTTTAAAGATTGTCGTGTTACGAGATTTTTCACATTGCGTTTTACAGGGTATGCTGTGCTCTATGGGCGGTTTTACCTCCCATACATGAGCCTTTCCAACAGAAAATCAATAACGCTTTGCAAAAAAGATGACCGGATGATAATGATAATAAATAGTATCTAGTATAATTAAACGGTTGCGGTTACAGAGTACTATGTACATTTCTTTCACTCTCTCTCTCTCTCGGGCATTATCATTTGAAGCTTAAAAAAGTAATGAATCATTCAATCTCATCCTATAATTCTGACTAAGGTTCGTCAAAAACTGTTTTGGCTAATTATTGTAAAGGCACTTCTCGAACGTTTCAAAGACATTCACCTGAAGACATTGTCGTACTGACGAGTCTTCAATTGGTTTTGGATGAATGATTTACTTTCCACTGTCTCTCATTTCCGTCGGTCTGTCTGTATGTCCGCTAATCCTTGGCCCGTCTATAACTTGGAAATTTCTGCTCAGATATGGACGAAATTTTGACACAAGGTTACTACTATCCCAAGGACAAAAAATGTTTGTAGTTTTTTAAAATTGGTCCAGTGGCAGTGGAGCTACGGTCCCAAATCGAAAAAATATAAATAGAACCTTCGTCTTTTGACGTTTTAGGGGCTCTTCATGATTTTCAAAAAAAAATTGTTGAGGTTAAAAATTGGGGGCTGTATGTTGTAAGGGGGTGGGGGAGGATATACGGATATCCATTTTTTGATGTTGCTATATTCATACGTCTCCGTCTACGGTAATTCAACATATTTCACTCTTAATAGATTTCTCCGTACATCTACCCTTGAACATCTCCAATAGTGGCGTGTCGATACGTACAACGTGCGTCACAGGCGACAGTCACTTCGGTATTGAGCTGTGGCGCTGTGGAAGTGAAAGTCAATATCGTCGTCCACGTGGGATTAGTCTTAGCAATGATCATGTGCGCACAGGAATTTTTCTCAGGATTGAGGGAGTGTTATTTATCGGCAGGAGATAACTTTATGTGAAAGCACATCTGCCTCCAAAACTTTTTGAAGAGCGGAGGGTAGCATATATTCTCTAGCAAACCATGCTAAATATGCAAATTTTATTTGTTTGAGCCTGTTTGACTGACTTGATCCATTTGATTTTTATCAAACATGTTTATAGGTAATTTTTTTCTCAGAATGCCTTTATCATTTGACGCCATTTTTTTTTTGTTACAAACTCCTTGGTACAGATTTGAGATACCATAAAGGAAATTGTTAATCGAGCTGTTAATCTGCGTCACCATACAATTAAACTTTATAAAAATTGAATAAGAGAAGAAGTGCCTCGGCGAATGCGTTGAAATCGTAGATAAAGCGTGTCGACGAACCGTTTTCACTTTTGCACCGGTTGACACTTTAAAGGACGCTAATCGAACAATATAATATACAATATCTGGACTTCCTCGGCGTCTAGCTATATTTATATAGAACAGGAAAAATAGGTTCAGTGTCAGAGGAAAAGCAGCATCAATAAGGAGTAGTTTCAAATGTTACATTAAGCACAATAAAGACGAAAGCACAGGAAACCAC